GATTATCCATTTGGACCCAATGTAATCACAGGGGTCCTTAAAAGTGGAAGAGGGAAGTAAGAGAATCTGAGAGATTTGAAGATGTTATGCTGTTAGCTTTGAAAATGGAGGAAAGGGTCGTGAGTCAAGGAATGCAGGCAGCCTGTAGGAACTAGGTAAGTCAAAGAAACAGATTTTCCTCTAGAGCCTCCAGAAAGGAACACAGCCCTGTTAATGCCTTTAGTTTTAAAATATTTTAGCCCAAGGAGATCCTTTGGCACTTTTGACCTCCAGAAGATTAGGATAAATTTGTATTGTTTTAGTCACTAAATTTGTTGTAATTTGTTATAGCAGCATGACCTCCAGAAGATTAGGATAAATTTGTATTGTTTTAGTCACTAAATTTGTTGTAATTTGTTATAGCAGCAATAGGAAACTAATACAACTCTGAAATGTTCAACATTTTTGGTCTGTAATAATAAAAGTAGGGCTTTCTCTTTAAAAAGTGATCTCTCACCCTGGCTGGTATGGCTCAGTGGTTGGCGCATCGGCCTGTGGACCAGGGAGTTTCCGCTAGGGGCACATACCTTGGTTGTACTTTGTTCTTGGCCCCAGTTGGGGTTGTGTGGGTGTCTCTCATATCGATGTTTCTCCCTCTTTTCCTCCCTCTATCCCTTCCGTGCTGTCTGAAGATAAATGCAAAAAGTGTCCTCAGGTGAGGATAAAAAAAAAGTGATCTTTCAAAGATTAAAATGTAGTCCCCACCTTTTTTTTTTTTTTTTTTTTCTTTTTTTTACAGCAAATGAACCTGCTGAGGGTTCAAAATGAAAGGTAGGCCCTGGCTGGTTTGGCTCAGCATTTAGAGTGTTGGCCCACAGACCAAAGGGCCGTGGGTTCAAATCCTGATCAAGGGCACGTACCTAGGTTGCAGGTTCGAACCCCAGCTCTGGTCAGGGTCCCTCTCACATTGATGTTTTTCTCTCTCTCTCCTCTTCCCTCCCCTTTCACTCTATCATTCATGGCTCAATAAAGAGACTTAAGTATATTGTATAAAGTTATAAAGATAACCTTAAAAGAGTAGAGGAACTCATATTTCATAATAGATCAATCAAATACTGCCTAAAGTTGATAAATCAAGAGATTAGACCTATAGGCATCTCATTTAAGTTATAGAGGTAACTGCCAAAAGAGAAATGGTTGATTTAGCAGTTGAGATGAGGAGCTGGTTATCTTTTTATAGTTGATTTTTAACCATGTACATGCATTGCTTTGAGAATAACATTTAAAAAGGAAAACAAGGACTATTTTAATGAAACTTTTACAGACTACTTTTTCAGATTGCTTTTTCTAATCACTTCACTGTACCAAAAATAAATTTAATAACATTGTAAAGTTTGCTAAAGAAAAAGGCAAACCATTTGCCATAAGATCACTAAATGATCATCTTAACTTGAAAAGCAATATGGTAAGCACAATTCTTATACACTGGTTACAGCCACTTAGGCAGTACTACTGCTTAATGGAAACAGAGAAGATGACAGATACTAGGACAGGGCCATAAGAAGCTAGAAGAATTGTAACTAATTTTTCTAAAATCCTGGTAATGTTGAAAGAAAGAATAATTGAGAGATTCTAGCTCCTAATTTGATTCTTGCTTTACTATTCGGCTTACATTTTTGTTATATATCTATGCATCTAATGAACACTGGTCATACTTCATAGCGGAGATTCCTTTTAGTTTCAAAAGATGAACTTGTTTCTGAAGTTGGTTTTATACACTGAATTTAGAATCTCATTGTTACAGTTGGTTTCTCTTTCCTTAACAAACCTATTTGCACAAGCTTTCTCAAACTTATTCACCCTTACCCATTCACTCTTACAGGAAGAATTTGGGGTCTACAGTGTGGCAAATATAAGCACCCACTTAATTTTGCTTGGAATGACCTCGTAAGATATTTTGGGAGGTGCTCAAACTTGCCAATTTGATTTTTAAACATCCTATTAAGTCTGTAGGTCTTAGCAAAGTGCCTGACACATGGTAAATGCCATAGAAATAACAGAAGTATGTTTTCTAGGTAATATGTACGGAGCTTATGAACTAGCCATGAAGAACCTTCCCACCAAAGCAACAGACCACTTAGTAAATGACAATAATTATTCTAAGTTCTTGAAATGAGGTGGTTGGACTTTTATATAACTAATGATTCTCAAATTTACCCAGTTTAATCATCTGAGAAATTCTGAAACCCTTCCTTAAAGCACCTCCAAATATGGAAGAAGAAAATAAACCCAAAGAAGGATGAACAAGGGTTCAGGAAGGGAACTTGTAGGAAGTGAAATTAAAGATAGGCACTATACACTGAAGTCAGTTCAAACCAGGTTGATGTACCTGTAAACAAGACAGATTTAACAACAGATGTTTGTAAAGACTTATGTGATCACCAAATTCCACTCCTTTGCTAAATTACAAATGTAGCACTGAGGTTAAGAGAGCAGACTATGGAGTTATGAATTTCTTTAGGTTTAAATTCCAGCTCTGCCACCTATTAACTCCAAGATCTTGGGTAAACTAAACCTACCTGAGCCTGTTTCCTGAAAGATTGGGACAATGATGGTACCCAGCCACAAAAAGTTGTTTTGAGAGTTAATGCCCTGGCCAGTTTGGCTCAGCGGTTGGAGCATCGGCCTGTGGACCAGAGAGTCCTGGGTTCAGTTCCCACTAGGGGCACGTACCAAAAAATAAAAATAAAAAAGAGAGAGAGAGAGTTAAACTAATTATTACATGTCATGTTTTACCTATTGCCAGGATATTGGGAAAGGGTCACTAAATGGCAGTTATCATGAATGTGTTTATTGCTTGTCTTCATCATCGGACGATAAGCTTTAAGAACCACATAGAATTTGTCTCATTTAGAATTTCTCCAGTTCCTAGAACAGAAGCTAGATCATTTGATCGGTGCTTAATAAAGTTTTAAATGAATGAATGATTCAATATGTTGATTCCATAAATCAAATGTAAAAATAAGTCATTATTTTACAGGTAGACTTCATACTGTACATGTTTCTTTCTACAAATAGAACTGACAAACAGAAATAATCCACCCAGGTTCTCACACAATTTATCTGCTTTTAGAAAAAGAATTATGTAGTATGATAAATGGACCAATGACAGGTTTAGTTCCAACCAGAAAAGAGTACAAGTTTGAAAAGCCTGTAAGTTTTTCACTTCAGTATACCATATATAATTTTTAAAAATCAAATACCTACTTCAATTTTTCCATATACATTTTAAATTCTATGGTATGTAACCAGTGGCATGCACGCACAAGACCTCAAGTCCAAGTTTGAAACAAGTGTAGCCAAAGTATAAAGCAAAGCTACTTAGTTTACTTAAACTTACACCCATGTTACTTGTCTCATCAGCACTATGCTGTCAGCAAGTGAGACCACAATGACATGATCAAGCAGAACAAGGGTAAAGACTGTTAAACCACAACGTTATAGTAGAAATGGAGGCCTTGAAAGGCTCCATGACTTGCCTTCGGTCGCAGAACAAGTTAGAGCACAGGCTGTCAGCTCTCCAGATTTTCAGTGTTGTATGTGGTCATAATCATTTTAACATACAACCATTCAGTTTTTATTTCATTAACTATATACCACAAAAAAAGTGTTTTTTTAATATTGATTTTTTGGTTTGTTTTCTTAAGAGAGAGGGCGGGGGAGAGAAACATCTATGTGAGAGTGGAACATCAGTCAGTTGCCTTCTGCACGACCACAGGGGATGAAGCCTGCAACTGGGGCAGATGCCCTGGCCAGAAATCAAACCAGCAACCCTTTGGTGCACAGGACGAAGCCCATCCAACTAAACCACACCAGCCAGGGCCCACAAATAAAGTTTTAACATAATGTAACAATTTCAATAACGTATGCCCTGTACATGAGAATTTGTCCCACTTAAATGGTAACTATGGAATTATATAAATATCAATATCAATATGTAAATATATATAAATATATATCAATAGCAAACATTTGGATGTTTACTTATGTCAGGCACTGTTCTAATCATCAGTATTAACTCATTTAATCCTCACAACCCCAGGAGATGTCATTATCATGCTCCCAGAAGGGAAAATGAAGTACAGAGGTCACAGTAGGTGGTGTACCAGGACTCAGTCGGGTGTCTGAGGCTGTGCCCTAACTACTCAGTTAAACAGTCTAACAAAATGAGTATTAAGCTATATACTAAAACTTAAATCTGTTACATTGTTAAACTATACAAATGTAATTTAGTGCTGTTTTCTATATTTCCCTTCATTTCCTTATTATCTCTAACCAGTGTTTTTTAAAAACCAGCACAAAACCAAGTTTTCTTTATTAGAACATGTCTTTGTTTTGTCTTTAAATACTCAATAAGCGGTCCGTGACCCAATTAGTTAATACATCTGAAGAAATTTTGCTACTGTTTTCTAATTGGGTCTGTTTCATCTGCATGGAAATCTGCCTTAAGGGGAGAAATTACTGTTCCATTTAAAGACATTTTTTAAAAAACTTTATTGCACTAAGAATTCCTTCAAAAACTAAATTATATTTTCATGCATTATAATATTAAGGTATGCCCTGGCTGGGTAGCTCAGTTGGTTAGAGCGTCGTCCCAATACAACAAGGTTTCGGATTTGATTCCTGGTCAGTGCACATACAAGAATCAACTAATACTTGCATAAATAAGTGGAACAAACTGACATTTCTCTCTCCTTTTCTCTCTCTAAAATCAATCAATAATAAACATTTTAAAATAAAGGTGTAATTCCAGGAAACTAAAGGAAAAAAATTTTTTAAAGTTATGTGGAGAAGTTGAGGGGAAAGTCAGTATGTATTATTTTATTTTATTATTGTTATAAAAGAAAAGTACAAATACTGTACAGTGAGATCTTCTGTAGAACACTATACAGTTATAATAAACTATTATCATTTATTACTCAAATGTAATATATATAGAGCAATCACAAAGTCAGAAAATAATGGGTAACAGCCAGTGCCTTAGAGATGTAACAACTATACTAGTTTATTGAGCAGTCAAAGCACTTGCTATTTTTCCCAAATATTTTCACTATTACTAATTTTTACATATTCTAAATAGCATTCCCCTCCAAAAAGTAGACTCTCCAACTCTTGGCACTAATTCTTAAAGTCAAATAGAAAATATTGATAACCTTTTCAGTCTTTTATTGCTCCACCACAAGCATAAAGGCTCACTCAGAAAGGAGGGACTTGTGCATTCTAAAAAGTATGCAATATCTTAAATACTAAGTAATTGATACTCACAAGCAGGTAACATCAACTAAAACTTTTTTTTACTAGTTTTCCTTTCTTTTACAAGAGAATAATCACTGTATTAATATACTACAAAAGCATGTAGACTCCATAATTTAAAAAATTAAATGTCAGATATACAAGTAATGGCATTTTCTCCAATAATTCACAATTTTTACAATTTCTGCTATTTTGGAACAAACGTTAAAATTCCCACGATTTAAGTATTATTAAATACGAACTGAAACACTTAGCATCTCAAAGAATTATTAAGAATGACAGAACTTACAATTAACTATAAATCTTACATTGGTGATAAAGCTCCCCTTTGTTAATTTATCTCTTAAGTAAACATTCTACTATGGTATGTTTTCAAGTGAATAGCTCTGGTTTGAAAAATTAACTTTTTATGTTAATTGTGAAGAGTCTTGAAGTTGTACAATTTTGTTAAATTATATAACCTTGTAATGTAGGATATGTCTACCCATCTTACTCAGAGCATGTACCTCACTAGTACTTTTATAAAAGGTTATTTTAAATTCATATTAAGATGAGTAGAGTTTAACCTGATTTTTAAAAGGCTTTTATGAAAATCTTAATACGGAAACCTTGTTTTAAGAACTATGAAACTCAAAATCTGCTCTGCCATATATATATACATATTTATTTTTGTGGTATGTGCCCCTAGCGGGAACCGAACCCAGGGCTCTCTGGACCGCAGGCCGATGCTCAACCGCTGAGCCAAACTGGCCAGGGCGCCATATTTTAAATATAGGCCAATTTGTTGAAATATGAAGACAAACTATATTGATATTCTCAAGTAAACATTTTGATAGTCATTATATTGACCAAATCATAATTAATGATAGAAGTTACAAGTTTATTTCATATCTAAAGATTAATTATCAGTGAGGTCTAAATTTTTAGAGAAATGTTCACTAGCAGCCAATATTACTAGGTGACTACACAAAATTCTTTTAAAAACTTTGCATTTAGTAGCCAATGTGGTATCAGTACAACTCTCAAAAACCTGTCATTAGTAGTATATGAGTTGCTAGCAAGTGATCTTCCCTGAGGTAAGAGACCATATGCAAAAGTCTGCTCATTTCCAATGAAGTTAACTCAAAAATAAAGGCAATAAGGACCTGTGGCTGGGAATCACAGATGCATTTCAGATTGCAAGCAGTAGGCTTGATTGTAAAACCAAACTAAAAATTATCAGAAAATATATAGCAAATTTGCTAAATTTCTCAGGTCATTATCCAAACATTTTCCAATAAAATACCTGAAACACAGTGAAGGAGGGGGAAAGGGACTTTATGCTTGTCCTTTAACCAGTTCCTGAGTAACCATTTCCTTGGAGTTCATTATATTCTAGCTTATATTTGGCAGTTGTCTTGTTTTTCTTCCAATCTCAACCAGTTTCTCATTACCAGTATTCTAGACATAGACTGTCTTCAATTCCACTTGGACTCTGGGTCATCAGTTCAAACTAAAATGGACTACTGAAGGAAAAAATTTACAATTTTACTTTGACTTTCAGTGAAACACTACAAACAGAATTTAGTTATAGGAATAAATTATAGTTTATCATGTTACATCTAGGGCTAAAAATACTTTAAATAATTTATGATCTCCAACTTGGACTCAAAGTTGTGATGATCACAAATAGTAGTACTAAAACATAATCATTCTTTAGTCCTACATTTGATTATAACCATATGGAAGGACAAACAATGGTATCTCAGAACGTAAAGAAATCCTGTCCTAAAACTTCTTTGTAAAGATACATGGTCCATCTCTCAAAAACCATTAATTACCCCAACCAAATTTCAGCAGCTTTAAAATAATTTCAAGAAATCTAATCATTATCAGAAATTAAGCCTTTTATTTTTTATCACGGGAGAACCCAAACTATTATAATATTTATATCTAACTGGCTTCTAAACAGCATGGCAAGAGAAATTAAGTGTTGTCAGAGATAAGACCTAAATGTTCACAGGTACATTTCAATTTCACTAAATGAAAGTATTTAAGAAGGAAATAAAATGTGTTTCTGATATTTTACTTCATGCTATGAGAGTATCTGTCAGTTATAAACTAAACATATTAAACCACAGGTGAAGAAAATATTTGTTAAAGAAAAGGTGATTATATCATTTACCTGGAAGCAGTGCATTTGTTTGTTAAAGTTTTCTTGTATTTAAACTAAAAAAGGGGGAGGTAAGTTTTAATGGCTGAAAAAACCGAAAATAATTATAGTGGTTAGTGATATTTGTAATTTTTAGTTTAATACACAGAAGTCACCTATACTAATAAGTGGGAGATATTATTTGGTAGTTGTAGTTCTTTATGCAAAACTAGTGCACAATATAAAAGTTCTACATTTTTCTGCTATTAGATATAGAGAAAGATACTTGAAATTTAGAAGAATGAAGATGAAAAATTTTAAAATGTGAGGCTGGGATAAAACCAATATATATCTTGCTTGGATATCACCTGCAAATGTCTAGATTCTCCATCTTTCCTTATTCAAGATGGACTAGTTCATTTAGTAAGTGGATTCAGAGATACTTTCATAGAAATAAAACCAAAACCTCCCTTATTTGGAAACACAAAGTACTGTCTATATTCCTTATGAATCAACAGGTTGAGATGTTTAAACACCTGATAATAAACTTTCTGATGTACATTTTCTTAGAATGAATACACAATTCTGCATCTGTTACATGTGCAAACAGAGACAGCCAGGCTTTGAATGCTCTAGATATGAGATTGTATTAACAGACATTTTGTCTTTCATCCATTCAAATTCAACGAACAGAAGAAAAAGATGGATTGAAATGTACATTTCAGAATACAGGTTTGCAAAATAGGATAAAATAGTGCAATACCAATCTCAGGATAAACATTCTTTGTCTTTAAGGAATAAGCATGAAAGCTGCTTCTTGAGGAAAATGGCACTATTTAAGCAAATGCCCAGTTGATCAGGGTATGATGCAGTAAAATTTGCATCCAAATCCAAGTGAAGCCAACAAATAAAGAAAATCTTATAGACTCAAAGGGGGAAAAAAAAAAACAACAGTTTTGGTTTAAAGGGTGGGGTGCGGGGGGGGTGGGTGTCAAAGACACTTAGCATATACAAGCTTAAATACCAATGATCAAAATTGTAGAACAATGTAACTCATTCATAAAGATAAATTCTTATTTATAAATTGTGAATCTGACAAACTCTGAAAATTAGAGATTAACTACTGCTACCATTATTTTTATATTTTCTACCACACTTTGCAATCAAATTTTCTGCAAGATTAAAGAGGGGGGAAAAATTCGGTGGTACTTGACCAGGCCAGGATTCAAAAAATAATGGTAATATATTATCAACAACAGAGCACACAAATGGCTGTGTTGGCTCAGACAGCAACATTACTGAATCACATTGACTTTATCATTTTAGAATAGATATTTTCCCCATAAACCTTGCTCAAATAAGCAAAATGTTTTATCATTACATTCTATTCTCAAGATATTTTCACCAAGAATACTATCTCTATGAATGTTTACACTCACAGAAATGTCAGGATCCCAGTGTCTAATAAATCTTTTATCAATTTTAAGATACAATTTAGTTCACATAACCTCCAAATTTACATAAATTTTTGACACGCTAGTAAGTATGTGGGATGGTTACCTTGATGACATCAACAGTAGCAAAATCTCACATTCTCCCAGTCCTAGACTTTTCAGAAATAAAACATATCTAGCATGAGAATTTTGAAACATTAAGACTTTCATGGATTTAAAATTACAAAGAACTTCCAAGAAACCACGTATGTGGAAAAAAACTCATCTCAGCAGATCTAGTAACTAATTTGTAGGAATTCAGAGCCAGCCTGGGCAGCAGTATATTAAAAGCTATTGCCAATCACACACTTGCTATCATGCACTGAATAATAAGATATAATCTTTGAATTATATACGTACAAGATATTTAATGACTAATCAAGTTATGTGGCCCAGCCAACAAATATTACATATTCACAATAAACATTCTGCCTTTATTAGCCTCTAATTAAATCAAGAGTGATCCATTGGCTCAGTTGTGTTTGTCATCTCAGCATCTTGACTATCCATCTCTTCAGGCTCATCCACGGAATTTCCCTTTTGTGCTTTTGACCTTGTGGCAAATGTTGCTCCCAGTGCCTCTGCCACACAGCTATCAGTTTCTGCATTCAAATTTTCAGTGCCACCAGTTAAAGAAAAAGATTCAGGTAAGCCAGTCTGAAGACTCCCAGACTTCACAGAAGAACTCACAACTTCTCCTTTCCTTTGAGGAAGATCAGATGGTGACTGCTCTGTACTTTGATCCCTCAAGTGCTTGTCCATTGAAGCCTGAATAGAAGAAACCATTTCCTGCAATTTTTTTCGCTGGGCCTCAACCAAATCAGGATCAAGCTGCCTGCTGTCTCTCATTGTAACTACTCCAGGAGCTATTCGAATAAGCTCACTATTATTAGGAGTAGCTGTGAATACAGAAGGCTCTGCTTTAATGGAACTATTACTAAAGTCTGTCCCTGTGTTATGCTTCCTTACAACTGAAGTTTCCCTAGCTCTTGAATCAAGTTGTGGATTACTGGATGCAGTTCCTAGAGAATGCCCTTTTCCCTGAAAGGCAGTTACATTATGAAGTTGCTCAGATTTCTTTTTCACTACTCCACCACTACCTAGTTTTAATAGCCCATGTGAGGGACTTGATTCCCTACTTCTTGTAGTAGCCTCTGCTCGAACCTGACTTACAGCCTCTTTAACTAATTCTTCAACATCAGGACCGATGGGAAAATGTCCTGCAGCATCCACACACAACTCCAGTCTATCTTCAGAAGCATTATAGACAAAGGTTTTGCCAGGCAGATGTGGAAAAGTACAATGCTTGCCATCAGTCATACCTAAAGAAGGGGAAAGACATTTAACATATCAAAAATGTTACTTAAAAAATATAGTAAAGGGCAATTTTAAGTGAAATAGTAACTTTTCAATAATAATTTACAGATAACAGCTTTCAAAACAAAATTAGAAAATAATTTACTATTAATAGAATTTAATACTATTACCAAAAAAATCACCACAGACCTTAAAGTAGTACTCCAGAGGATGTTTAAAGGATATATTATTTTTACATTGTGCTTATATAAGAGAATATCCTTGTTTTTTAAAAATATTTGTTGAGTATTTAAAAGCAAATGTCATGATACATTTAATTAATCCTCAAATGGCCCAGCAGAATATATACACATATTACCTATGTATCTGTATAGAGAGACACAAAGTTAGGAAAGGGGCTTGAAACAAACAGCTAAGCTATAAGGAAAATACCAGCAATACTGTTAGTAAAGCAATGGCTTATTGTAGGGCAATAAGAAACTAACTTTCATTTACTAAAATTCAAATTGTAAACTTTGAAATAATACCCATTAGGGCAAAGTGTTACAGAAGCATGTTGCATAGTGTGTTGAATTAAAAATAAGAAATTCTACTGACTTACAAAATACAATAAAAGTTGTTTTCTCTGTATGAATAGGTATATATTTTTCACAAATAAATATGAATTTTCAAAATTAGATATTCATTCCATAGTTAAAGTAGTATTTACAGGGCACATGTAGGAAAGCTAAGATTAATGCACTGTGACTTCAGTGTAATTCTAAGAACTGATACTCAGTCACAATAAATTTAAGAGATTTTATTCAATTCCATTTATTTGAAATAGTTGTATTTCATGTTACTACTCTTATTCCTCTCTGGTAGGTCAGAACCACCAAAATAAGCCTGAATTATGGATGTTCCTAAAAATGGCCCATTACAATTTACTGATAGTTAACTAATGCAGCAGTATGACAGAACGGTAAAGCATGCTTCTCTTTATTTTCTAGTTGAGCAGTTTGGTCTCACTACATGGTATTTCAAAGCTTTACACTTTTTGCAGTCTGAGCATAAAAAAATTACACGTTGTGTTTAAAACTATCCAATATCCCCATGTTTTAAATTTGTCACTCTAATTATACTCTAACTATGCAAAAATACGAGTTTTCAAATTTTATGAAACCACAGATTTTCTATGTTAATAGAAAGATGAAGTTGAGAACTTTTATTAATATATGATATATATGGGTATGTTTATGGCAAAATATAAAGGCAAGAGCAAGCTAATTATTAGTAAGTGCTATACAAATTCAGAGAGGGGGAGGATGAGTGAACTCTGGAATGTTTTGTGGGCATTTAGGTCGTCTTCAGTTTTGTAGGTCATTAAGAATAGTAAAAAGAAAAAAGGTACTGAAAAAAAGCTAGAGTGGCCCTGGCCAGTTTGGCTTAGCTGTTAGAACATCGGTCTGTGGTTCAGAGAGACCCGGGTTCGGTTCCCGCTAAGGCCGCGTACCTTGGTTGCAGTTTGTCCCTGGCCCTGGTTGGGTCATGCGAGTGGCAACCAGTCGATGTGTCCCTTTCACACGTCGACGTTTCTCTCCCTCTCTCTTCCTCTCTCCCACTTTATCTGAACAAAAAATGGAAAAAAAAAAGTCCTCGCCCTGGCCGGTTTGGCTCAGCAGTTAGAGCATCGGCCTGCGGTCTGGAGAGACCCGGGTTCGGTTCCCGCTAAGGGCACGTACCTTGGTTGCAGTTTGTCCCCAGCCCTGGTTGGGTCGTGTGGGTGGCAACCACTCGATGTGTCGCTTTCACGTCGATGTTTCTCTCTCTCTCTCTCTCTCCCTCTATCTGAACAAAATATCGAAAAATGTCCTCGGGTGAGGATAAAAAAAAAAAAAAAAGTCCTCAAGTGAGGATTAAAAAAAAAGCTACAGTGGTCCTAATGTAGCTCATTGTGAATATTCCAGATAACCAGAGAAAAGACGTAAAATGCAAATGAATAAATAACATACAGTAATTTAAAATAAACATTCATTTCAATGGTAAGTGAGGTATCAATTTAAAATCCAATTAGAGCCCTGGCCGGTTTGGCTCAGCGGTTAGAGCATCGGCCTGCGGTCCGGAGAGACCCGGGTTCCGTTCCCGCTAAGGGCATGTACCTTGGTTGCAGTTTGTCCCCGGCCCTGGTTGGTCGTGCGGGTGGCAGCCACTCGATGTGTCTCTTTCACGTCGATGTTTCTCTCTCTCTCTCTCTTCCTCTCTCTCCCTCCCACTCTACCTGTGTAAAAAATGGAAAAATGTCCTCAGGTGAGGATAAAAAAAATAAATAAATAAATAAATAAAATAAAATCCAATTAGAATTTCCTCTAGGCACATTTTTGGCAGATAAAAATAGTAAAAAATAAATAATAAAATGGCAAAAACAGACACACACCAATTAAAATCAGAAATGTGGTTTAAATAGCACCTTTAGGAGTACAATCCTAGAATCAGTTTACTGTCTACTAATCCCCTACTTCAGAGATTGTACACAACAGCTCAGGAAACAAAGGTAACAAAGAAGAGAATTTTGAAGTAAGGTCAGAGACCTACCTAGGCAAAACTTTAAAATACTCATTTTAATAGATAACACTATTGAGACTCACTATGTGCCAGGAACTAAAATAAATCCTGACAATTCAAAAATAAAATGTTAATTTTTATGAGACTGATACAAACAGATCATTATAATTCTATCAGGTAAGTATAATGATAGATATACTACTCATTTCACTAATTATTTCAGGATTAAATGAGAAAACATGCAAAGCACATACCACAGTGCCTAATATAAATCAGGCAATCAATAGTTAATTCCTCTTTTAAATCAAAAAGGTTTTGTAATTGTTTCCATGCTGCTATTGTGATGCTTTCCCTTGGCTATCCCTGGAAAGAATCATAGTCCCACACATGTTCATCACAGTATTATTTACAATAAAACACTGGAAACAATATAAGCTTTCAACTAGAAGAGAACGATTATAGTCTATCTACCTGACAGAAGTAGTATGAAGCTATTAATATTGATATAAATAAGAAACTTATGATGCCTCATAATATACAGTAAAATGTGCATGATGGTAAAATAGCAGGAAACAAATCTAAGTATCATAATTACAATCATGTCCCAAAAAAGTATGTGTAAGACAAGTAAATTACAGGGGATGAAGGGATTGAGCAAAAAAGGGGGAAAAAAAGAAGAAAGAACTCATGGACACAGACAACAGTGTGGTAACAGTGTGATGACTGCGGGGGGAGGAGAGTGCGGGAAGGTGGTAGAAGAGAGTACAGGGAGAATAAATAGTGAGGGAAAAAAATAATGAAGGGAAAAAATCAATGCAAATACTAGAAATGTTGTGGTCTCTTTAAGTGTAATCATAACTTATACAGTCCTTTGAATTTTAAAAATCAAGGTGCATCAAAATTTTTATATTATTTCTCAATAATTCCATTACACATACACCAAAAGATATGTATACTAATATTTATAACTACATTCTTCCTTACATCCAAAAACTGTAAACTACCCAAAAGTGCATCAGAACAATGGATGAATTATATTAAAAGGATACAACAGAATACTATGCAGCAGTGAAAACAAACTATAATGGAACCCATAACATGAATCTGAAAAAGTACTACCTAAAAGAAGAAGTTCACAGAAAAAGCATACAGATAATTCAGTTTTTATAAAGTTCAAACACCAGCAAAACTGAACACATTCCCAGCAGTGTATGAGGGTTCCAACTACTCTACATCTTTGCCCATGGTTCTTCTTACGTCTTTTTTATTATAGTCATCCTAGTGAGCACAAAGTATTATCTCATTGAGGTTTTGATTTGCACTTCCCTGATGGTGAATGATGTTGAGCATCAGTTCATGTGCTTATTGGCTTTTTATGTATTTTCTTTAGAGAAATGTCTATTCAGATCCTTTGTCCATTTTTAATTGGATTTTTATTTCTTTATGTTTTAGATACAAATCTGTCATTGGATAATTTGCAAAAAAATTTTCTCTCATTCTGTGGACTGTCTTTTCACTTTCTTGATGGGGTCCTATGCAACGCAAAAGTTTGCTTTTAATTTATCTACTGTGTTTTCTTTTTTTAATCCTCACCCGAGGACATTTTTCAATATTTTGTTCAGATAGAGTGGGAGGGAGAGGGAGAGAGGGAGAGGGAGAGAGGGAGAGAGGGAGAGAGGGAGAGAGAAACATCGACGTGAAAGGAACACATCGAGTGGTTGCCACCCACACAACCCAACCAGGGCTGGGAACAAACTGCAACCGAGGTACGTGCCCTTAGCGGGAATCGAACCCGGGTCTCTCCAGACCGCAGGCCGATGCTCTAACCGCTGAGCCAAACCGGCCAGGGCTACTGTGTTTTCTTTTGATGTTTGTATTTTTGGTGTCATATGCAAGGTTTTGCCTAATCCAAAGTCAAAAAGTTTTATTCCTATGAGATCTAAGATTTTTCTTGTTTTAGATCTTATATTCAGGTTTGATACAGTTTGAATCACTTTTGTATTTGTTGTGAGGTAGAGGTCAAACTTCATTCTTTTGCATGTGGACATACATTTGTCCCAGTACCATTTGTTAAACTATTCTTTCCCCCATTACCATAATCAATCCTAATTAAATACTAACTTTTAAAAAACCATTAACTGGTATCAATGTATTTCAGAAGGTAGAATAAAGTGAAAGAGGAAAAATTCAAATAAAATTCGAATAAAAGGGGGGTGCCCTGGCCGGTTTGGCTCAGCAGTCACAGCACTGGCCCACGGACCAAAGAGTTGCTGGTTCAATTCTGGTCAAGGGCACGTACCCCAGTCGCAGTTCGTCCTGGGCTCTGGTCGGGGTCGTGCAGGAGGCAACCAGTCAATGTGTTCCTCTCACATCAATGTTTCTCTCTCTCCCCTCCCACCCACTCTATCTGATGATAAACAGAAAAATATCCTCAGGTTAGGACTTAAAAAAAAAAGAAAACTACATACTATTATCCCTCATCAATATGAACACATGCAAAAACACTCAAAAAATATGAGTAATTTGAATCCACCATGCAAAGTTGGTTCAATATTTTTTAAAAAATCAATCAATGAATACTCACAGGGATATAAAGTTCAGCATAGGGAATACAGTCAATAATAATGCAATAACTATGTATAGTGTCAAGCAGGTACTAGACATATCAGGGGGATCACTTCAAAAGTTATATAAATGTCGAACCACTATGCTGTACACCTGAAACTAATAAAATATCAAATGTCAACTGTAATTAAAAAATAAAAAAAGTATTAATAAAAGGTAAACAAAAAGAAAAAAAGTGAATCAATGTTATTCAACCCTACCAACAAACTAAAGAGAAAAATCATAAGATCATTTCAATAGATGCAGGAAATAAGCACCTGATAAAATTCAACAGCCATTTACAATATAAACTTTCAGCAAACTAGGAATAGAAGGGAATGCACCCTCAACCCGATAAAGGGCATTTCTGAAAAACCTACAGACTGAATGCTTTCCCTCTAAGATCAGCAACAAGGCAAGGATGAAGGATGTCCACTCTCACCACTCCTATTTAACACTGAACTTACAGCTAGTGCCATAAGGTAAGAGAAAGAAATAAAAGGCATACAGATTGAAAAGGAAGAAATAAAACTGTCTTATTTGCAAATGATATGATGACCTACATAGACAATTCCAAAGAATCTGATAAAAAGCTACTAGAATTAATATGTAAGTTTGGCAAGAACACAGGATATAGAATCAATGCATAAAAATCAATCTTATTTCTGTGCACTAGCAATGAATAATAGGAAATCGAAGTTTTTAAAAAGTGTATCTTGCCCTGGCCAGGTAGCTCAGTTGGTTAGAGATTCATCCCAATGAGCCAAGGTTGCGGGTTTGATCCATGGTCAGAGAACATACAAGAATTAATCAATGAATGCATAAATGAGAGGAACAACAAAAATCTCTCTCTTCCTCTCTCACTCTAAAAATCTATTTAAAAATTAATTTAAAAAAGCACATTTTACAATTGCATCCCAAAACATGAAACATTTAGGTACAAATGAACAAAGAATATGCAATAATTATATACTGAAAATTACAAAATTTTGGTAAGAGAAAGTGAAGAAGACTTAAATAAATGAGAACTATAACATCTTCATGAACCAGAAGATTTGATTTTGTCAAAATATCAATTGTCCTCAATTTGATCTAGACATTCAAAACAATCACAATAAAAATCCCAGTAGATTTTTTTGTAGAAAGTGACAAGTTGATTTTAAAATGTATAGGGATAAGGATAACAGACTATCTAAAACATTTTTTAAAGAAGATTCTAGACTCATATGTACATGGTCATTGATTTTTAACAAATAACTTTTTGACATACATTTTACATATAATTCACCCTTCTCAAGCGTATAATTAATGGTCAATTTTTGATAAAGGTATCAAAATAATTCAATAGATATAGCGTAGCTTTTTCAACAAATGGTGCTGGGACAACTGAACATCCATACATAAAAAAAAAAAGACCCTGGCTCAGTGATTCAGTTGGGTTAGAGCATCATCCCATACACCAAAAGGTTGTTGGTTTGTTTGATTCCCTGTCAAGGCACATACCTAGGTTTCAGGTTCCATCCCCAGTCAGGGAGCATAGGGGAGGCAACTGATCAATATTTCTCTTTCTCTTACTCGCTCTCTCTCAAAATCAATAAAAACAAAGCAAGTAAGGATTAAAAAAAAAACAAACCTCACCTCAACATATAAAAAGCTCAACTTGAAATACATCATAAACCTAAGTTACCCCAAACTATAAAATTCCTAAAAGAAAGCATAGAAGAAAAATTCTGTGACCTTGGATTAGGTAAAGATTTCTTGGATAGGACTCAAAAAGTATAAATCATAAAAGAAAAAATGTTAAACTGGTTATCAAAATTAGAAAACTCTACTCTTTAAAAGACACTATTAGGAAAATGAACAAAGTTACAAATTGGGAGGAAATATTTGCAAAACACTTATTCAATAAATGATGTGTGCCCAGAATATATAAAGAACTCTTAAAACTCAATTTTAAATAATCCAAACCAATTTTAAAACGAGGGGGAAAAAAAGATAGCAAATAAGTACATGAAAAGATTCTCTCAACATCATTAGTTTTTTAAGGGAAATGCAAATTCAAACCACTATGAAATAGTACTATAAATCTTTTACTATGGTTTAAAAACAAAAACCGATACTACCAAATACTAACCAGGACACAGAGCAACTAGAACTCTAATACAGTGCTAGTAGTGATATAAAAGGACCCAGCTCCTTTGGAAAATGGTTTGGAAGTTTCTCATAAAGTTAAGCATATGTTTACCACATGACTCAGCAATCCCACTCATAGGTATTTACTAAGGAGAATATGTCCACAAAAAGATATGTACACAAATGTTTTTAGTGGCTGAATTTATAGGAACCAAAAACTGAAAGAAAGAAAAAAACAAAAAACTCAACTGTCCTTCAATTATTTATGAATTCTTTTAAATGTGATAAATACATACAATGGAATACTACTCAGCAATAAAAAGGAATGAACTACTAATACATGCAACCAGACAGATGAATCACAAAAGCATTAGGCTGAAACAGAAACTGGCCATTTTTTTTCTGTAAAGGGCAACATGATAATATTTTACATTTTGCAAATCATAAAGCCTCTGTCACAACTATTCAACTCTGCCACTGTAGTGCAAAACAGCCACATACAATTTGTAAACATGAGTGTGGCTGTTTCATAAAACTTTATATACAATAAGCTGTGGGCCTGATATAGCCCACAGGCAATTATTTGCCAACCCCTATGCTAAATCAAAGGAGCCAGGTATAAAAGGTTACATTAAATAATTCCATTTATATGGTGATATGAAAAAGGCAAACATTTAGAGGCAGAAATCAAATCAGTAATTGCCAGGGTCTGGGGGTAAGAGTAAGGGATTAATAAGAAAGGGACATAGGCAACTTTTTGGAATGATGGAAATATTCTCTATCTTGATTGTGGTGGTGGTTATATGACTATTATGTTTGTCAAAATTTATATACCTGTATACCTAAAAAGAGTGAATATCACTATATGCAAATTATGCTTCAATAATCCTGTCTTAGAAAGCAAGGGATGAAGGGAGGGAGAAAGCAAATCATTTGTGCTCCCCAGTTCAAAAAAACAGAGAGAAAAAAATTTTTTGAGATAATCAAAATCAAAGAAATGTAAACACTGATATTTGGTTGTATTTTTTAAATGTGATAATGGTACTGTGGTTATTTTTTAAACAGAAAAATACAAGAGTTATACCGAAGTTCTTACAGATGATATTATATTATGTGTAGGATTTATTTTATAATAGTCCAGTAGAGATGGAGGTAAAAATGTACTGATTAATCATTGTTGAAGTGGGGCGGTGGGTAAATAGAAGCAAATTATACTATTATTTTTGCTACTTCTATATATGTTCAAACATTTCTATAACAGCCAAGTTGGGGGTGGTTAAGAATGAAAAAAAAAGTGAGAAGGAAATAAAAACCATAAAATAGAGATTATGCACTTAATGTCTACTGAGGTCAGGTGGGTGAAGAAGTAAGATTAGCCCAGTGATAAAGTGTCAGGCCAAAAGCATTCACATCACATTTTTTAATAGACATGTGATTTTCAAATATACACTGGCATCCTCTCTCTCAAAACCTTAAAATTATGTCCTGGCCAGTTTGGCTCAGTAGTTAGAGCGCTGGCCCGTGGACCAAGGAGTCTTGGGTCCGGTTCCCGCTAAGGGCACGTAACTTGGTTGCAGTTTGTCCCTGACCCCAAGGGTCGTGTGGTGGCAACCACTTGATGTGTCTTTCTCACGTCGATGTTTCTCTCTCTTTCTCCTTCTCTCCCTCCTGCTCTATCTGAAGATAAATGCAGAAATGTCCTCAGGTGATGATAAAAAAAAAAAAAATTAAAGACCTTAAAACTACAAAGATAGTGTTTTACACTCACACGTGCCTTTACAAACAATGTGCACACAATGTGAAAAGAAGTAAAATGTAAATTAACTATTTCCTAAAATCCAGGAAGCACTGAGTTATGTATAATAATCATAGTAAAAATAAAACAACAAAAAACTATATTATCTGGTTCTGGGATAGTCATTAGCATTAAAACCAAATCTGCTTCTAATTCACAATTTGTCTTTAGTTAAGAATCATATACATAATTTAAATTAGAAAATAGGAGCAAGAAAGTGATAGGAGATTTTTAGTAATATTATAGCAGAAGCTGTGGCCGGTTTGGCTCAGCAATTAAAGCATTGGCCCACAGACCAAAGAGTCGCGAGTTCGATTCTTGTCAAGGGCACATACCTCAGTTGCAGTTCGTCCCTAGCCTTGGTTGTGGTCGTGCGGGAGCCAACCAGGCAATGTGTCTCTCTCACACTGATGTTTCTCTCTCTCTCCCTCCCACTCTATCTAAACAAAAATGAAAAAAATATCCTTGGATGAAGATTTAAAAATAATATATTATAGCAGAAAACACAGTTGAGCATAATAATCCATTCTAATTAGACAGGCTGCAAAAGAAAAATATATACCTAAAATTAACATTGGAAATAACTTTAGAATAATACTATCTGACCTTTCTTAATCTTATAATAGCTTGTGTGATGGTATTGTCTAAAAATAAAATCAGAAATTGACTATACCCATGGTTTTCTTCATAATATTGTAGAATACTCCACCCTGTTGGAACATGTGAGGAAGCCCCTTTGCGTAAGACCATACATCTTCTCCTGTAAGATAAAAACAGGTAAGTATTAGCAACAAACAAAAGTTCAACCCAGAGTTATTTTAATATGGATTAGCCTCTAACTGTACAGTGGTTCTCAACTTTCCTAATGCCGCAACCATTTAATACAGTTCCTCATGTTGTGGTGCCCCAACCATAAAATTATTTTCGTTGCTACTTTCTAACTGTAAGTTTGCTACTGTTATGTCTTAAGTGACCCCTGTGAAAGGGTCATTCAACCCCCAAAGGGGTCGCAACCCACAGGTTGAGAACCGAGAATTAAACAGATTGTAAGGCAGTCTGGTGTAACATATAGGGAGATGATATGGAGTGAAGAGGCTATAGCACACTAGGAAATGTATGACACATCTAAAGGTAGCAGTCGCTGCCAAGTGCTATCATGAAACAGTGTAGGCCCAATGTTTCAAGACAATATAGCTTTTTAAGAGAAGCCAGAAATCTGGGGTTTTAACGTGAATTCTCTCAATTTTTAAATGTAGAAGCTAATTAAAAAATGTTTTTGAAACTACATAAGTCAATACTGGGCATATTAAACTAACTAGATCTGAAAACTCAGTAAAACTCAACAAATACTAAGATAATTTATAAAAGAATAACATAAAATTGTATTTTCTGTATTTATGTTAAAACCAAATAAAATCAGATGGAAGAGGCTAGCGAGAAAAGTAAATACGTAGGCTGAAGATAAGTAATTAATGCTGTATTCTGTTGTTCCAAACTGCTTTTTTAAAATAAAATTTAGGGGGGAAATAACTTGTTGAAGAGATTTATAATAACCTTTAGAAATCCACAAAATATCCACAAGCAAACCACCATTTCACAAAAACATTTTTTCAAGAACATTCTTTGACTGCCTAGTTCAATAAAAAATTAAGTATGATAATCACTGTTCAAGAAATTAATAAAGAATGGAAGGAACATAAAAGTTACTTTTGGTTTGTGGAATACAGTTGTTTTGTTTTTTTATACTTCATTTTCTAATCTGATAATGTATAGTACTATTTTCACAATCAGGACATTTAAAATGAATTTTTGAAGAAAGTTTAACTTTTATCTTTCCTACGGGAAGATTATACTATCAGATCTGAGCTTTGAGAGGAGGTTATTGATTAAATAATCACTATGTACCTACAGTCTCACAAAGCTCCAGCCCCTTTCCACATTCATAAACAGGGATATGAATTTGCATGGCAGCTGACTCAAGTTACTTAGTGTATCATTTTAAAGTATATGAATTTTAAAAGTTTCAGTTAACTAGAACATTTACTTATAAACACTTCATTACTAATGATACAGTATTACTAGAATAGACCTATATTTAAGTGTAATGAACTTATTAAACTTCATTTGGATAAATTATTTCCATGATGATAACCTTTCATTTAGTTACTATCAATGTTATCGTAAATATATTTAGTATTTTATAAAACACTCTATGCCCTGACCTGTTTGGCTCAGTGTTTGGAGCATCAGCCTGAGGACCAAAGAGTCGTGGGTTCAATTCCCAGTCAAGGGCATATACCAGGGTTGCAGGCCGGAGGTCATGTTGGAGGCAACCAATCGGTGTGTCTCTCTCATATCAATGTTTCTCTCTTGCCCTCTCTCTCTCTTCCTCCCTTCCTTCCACTCTAATAAAATAATAATAAAATACTCTAGGATATTATTTGTTTGCAAAACTTGTCAAAAAATTATATGGTAGCACTTAATATTTTTGGTAAAAATCTGAACAGGTACCAAACTTACTGAATTCTTTAGAACTGGCCACCTAATTACTAGTAAGAAAAACATTTCTTATGTATCTATATAGATATATAAACATGTATGTAAATACACACACATACAATGAAATACCATGCAGCCATTAAAAACACATTGCCATTTGTCACAATATGGATGGATCTTGAGGGTATTATGCTAAGTGAAATAGGTCAGATGAAAAAGGACAAAAACTGTATGATTTCACTCATATGGAGAATATAAAACAAAAAAGAAACAAACTCATAATACACATAAACAAAACTCATAGATACATACAACAGAATGGTGGTTAGCAGAACAAAAGGGGGTTGGGGGAGGGCAAATTGGGTAAAGGGAGTCAGATAGATAGTAACAAAAGGAAACTAGACTTTTGGTGGTAACACACAATAGACTCTACAATTATCAAATTAAAAATGTTGTACACCTGGCCCTGGCTGGTTTGGCTCAGCAGTTAGAGCCAGGATTTGATTCTGGCCAAAGGCATATACCTTGCTTGTGGTTCGTTCCCAGCCCCGGTCGGGGTCAAATAAATAAATAAATAAATAAAATGTTGTACACCTGAAAAGTATATAATCTTATTAACCAATGTTGTCTCAATAAATTTTAAATAAATAAAACTTGAATTGTCGTTTCCTCTAGGATTTTTCAGAGTGGTGGTTAGGTAGGAACCTTCCTTGCTATTCCGATGCATGTGAATACCACACTGTAGGTTAATTTAGTTTACTTTTCTGTTCCTCTTCTAGACTAGAAGCTTTTCAGAGTCAGGAAAAGGTCAATAACTTATGTGACTTTATATTCCCAGGGCCTGGCACAGTGCTGAACAGTAGCATTCTTAGCATGTTGAATATATTGTATAAATGAGGTTTTTTCCCTTTTAACAAGTTCTGAAAGAAGTCCTGAAAAAACTTAACTGAGGCAGCACAATGATAACTGTTCTTCAATGCTATGGATAAAATATAACTAACAGTACTTAATCTAGTAGAACAAAAACAAAAGGAAAAACTTTTAGGTATAACCTTCCAGTTATAAAATAAATAAGCTATGAGATGTAATGTACAGCACAGTGATTATAGTTAATAATATTGCATATCTGAAAGTTGCTAAGAGACTAGATCTTAAAATGGGGGGACAGAATTATTTTTTTACAAGTTCATTAGAAAGCAAACTCTTAGAGACTAGAAATAGTTTTGTAAAGCATCTAGCAAATACACTAATTCACATTTTTCTTAATCTCCAATTAATTTTACTCTATAATTCAACTATTTCTTTATAGTATAACAGTAAAATACTTAAAATCAACATACTGTGTGTGTATAAATGCAGAAAAAAGTCTACACCAACATAGATAATTTCTGTTCACACCCTGTCTTCCTCAAACCCTTCCTCCTAATAGTCTTCAGTTCTCCTACCTGAACAGTAGTTATATATGACAGTGGTATTATGAATGGTTTTTCTTTTGTTTATCTGACAGTTTTTCCTCTTAAATAAGTAGTAGTTTTTTAATTTTAAAAATGTTAAAACATTTTTTAAAATATCGTATTTTTCTAACTTTTACTACTAACAATACAATCATGTGGTTAAAAGTGACTTTAAAAAGTCATCATTCCTACCCTGGCCAGTTTGGCTCAGCAGTTAGAGCATCCAACCACAGACCAAGGAGTCGTGGGTTCAATTCCAATCAAAGGCGCACACCTTGGTTTTGGTTTGTCCCCGGCCCTGGTTGGGTTGTGCTGGAGGCAATCAATCAATGTCTCTCTCTCACATTGATGTTTCTCTCTCTCCCTCCCTCCTTTTCCCTCCTTCTCATGCTGTCTAATGATAAACAGAAAAATGTCCTAGGGTGAGGATTAAAAAACAAACAAGAAAATCTGTCATCATTCCAATTTTCTAACTTTAGATATTTAAACAGGTAATTTAAGTTTCTGCTTTGCCATTTTTGAAGTAAGTTTAAAAATATAATATCTATATGAAATATATTTTTAAAGACCCACCCAAAAAACACCTATAATTAGCTCTGAACTCAAGTGTCTATGACCATAAAATAATCTGACCAAAATGTAAATTTAAACCAGGAACATGGGACTATTTCTGTAAGAAAGAATCCCAAAGGTATTCATTAACTGAAAGAATTGTCATCTCTCCATCCTTCCTACAGATCCTCCCATCTAAAAGTGTATCTACCTCACCCGGCTGGTGTGGCTCAGTGGATTGAGCATCGTCCCATGAACTGAGAGGTCCTGGTTCCATTTCCAGTCAGGGCATATGCCCGGGTTGCGGGCTAGATCCCAAGTAGGGGACATGCAGGAGGCAGCCAACCGATGTGAATCTTTCACATAGATGTTTCTATCTTTCTCTCCCTCCCTCTCTCTCTAACAAAATCAATAAAAACATATTTAAAAAAAATATATCTACCTTATCAACAGTCCAAACAATTTCTAAGAAAGCCATGCCTCTTTCTCTCCTTTCACTCAGTCCTCTGATATTTACCCCATACAGCTTTTCATATCATCACCAACATTAAAAGATGTATTTATCATATACATACATGGATACAAACCTATGTGTACATGTGTACACAAACACATACACGCACACAAACCTGATTCTCTGGGGAGTGCAAATGTTAAAGACAACTATCATATTTTACTTTATACATACTTGAATTCTTTGAAATTTTTAATATCTTATATTTGAAAAAATATGAAAGAAAAGCAAAGGTATCAAAGTAGTTGAGTACAACCCAGCTAGTGTGGTTCAGTGGTTGAGTGTCGACCCATGCACCAAGAGGTCACTGGTTTGAATCCTGGTCAGGGTACATGCCCAGGTTGTGGGCCTGATCCCCAGTGAGGGGCATTCAGGAGGCATCCAACTGATATTCTTTCTCATTGATGTTTCTATCTCTCTCTCCTTCTCCCTTCCTCTCTAAAATCAATAAAGAAAAATCATTAAAAATTTTAAAAGTAGCTGAATACAGAAAGGAAGAGAATTGTGTTTAACTTAATCTTCAAAGTATGACAGTAAAAAAATCACATCTATAACGTACACATTTCTCTCTTTTTTAAAAATATACTTTTATTGGTTTTTTTAGAGACAGGAAGGAAGAGTGAGAGAAATATCTATTGGCTGCCTCCTGCACTCCCCCTACTGGGGATCCAGCCCACAACCTGGGCATGTGCCCTGACAGAGAAATCACACCAGGACCTCTCAGTCCATGGAATGATGCTC